CCAGATGACTCGTTCAGCAAGGTGGTGGTTATGGAGTCATCTATTTGAGAGACACTTCTCTAAATATTTTACCTTAATTTCAATAGCAAGATGCAGCTACTTTTTAAAAATTAATAGTACTTATTCTATTTCATAGCATATCACATTTTTAAAGTGACGTGATTGTTTTTTATGAAAAAAACTGGTAAAATGAGAAGTAATAACTTTGGCTTTAAGAATGTTTATTTTCTGAGCTTATTGCTTGTTACGTTTGTTTTTAGCAGTTCTTGTCCATCAGCACTAAGCTGGGAAGCAAAAGCCCCTGTCAGTATGTTTGTATGTGTGTACAATGTTTACATACGTATATTCATGTATATACACATATTTGTTCATGCGCTATAGTTTTATGACTGACTGATAGTTTATTCTTAATAATAAGGGGGCATTGAGTCGTGACCTCCACATGGATCCCTTTTGCTAGAGTTCAAAATCTTTTCAGATTCTATAGCTTGGCTTCTGTGCTTTCCATTCCTGGACCTGATAGTCTGTGTCCTAAGATCCTGGGATGTGTAGAGATGGTAGAAGGCTAAACTGGTGGATATAGTTATTCTTCCTTTGGTACCTCCATGATTTAGGGCTCCGGGTGTTATCTTACCAGGTGGTATTACAGAAACAAATCATGACATTAAATAGCCATACTTGACCGTTAAAAATATCCCAAAACATGCATGACTATGTTAATTTTTATGGAGCTTTCCTATACTTCCCAGAAACGTGGGTATTTTAACTAAAATAAAATTTCAAATTGTGTTTTTCACTTATACTAGCCACACTTTAATTGCTTGGTAGTTACATGTGGCTAATGGCTACTGTATTGGAAAGCCCAGAAACAGAACATTTCCATCACCACAGAATGTTCCACTGGACATCGTTGCAGTATATTCATGTGGAAATTCACTCTACTAACACTGCAGAGAATTGTTTGCTTTTTAAACTCTCTTGTTTTGGCATCTTTTACAGAGTGGTGAAGTAGAGTTATCTAAAGAATAGAATGTATATCCAAATATTTTTGCATTTCAGTTTTTTTCCTATATGTCTCTACGTTAAATTCTTCCAGCTCTTGTATTCTGTGGTTCCATTATCCAATATCTAAGTGGAGGTTGCATCAGAAATTAGCATCCATACTGTTACTTGTATGTAAAATTATTCCCCCCCTTTTTCATTCTTTTTTTTTTTAAATTCTCACCTGAGGATATG